AAACATTTGTACTTAACAATCGTATATCGCCAAACAGGCATACATGTACATGTAGTCACATGATTAAGCTTGTTTGATAGAATAAACGTGTTTGAAATGTTAAATATTGTACATTCATTAATGACTTTTGTTTTTATCCGATGATTTTATAGGTCATATTGTGGCACTAAGTATTTGAAGTCTGTTTAAACAGAGAAAAAACAACAACTTTTTTAAAAACGCCAAAGCGGCAAAACTGAATATGTTGCAGACTCAATGTGATTGAGTCTGTTACGCTCGTGAAACATGCAAGCTACCACACGCGCCTCAAGAACCGGCATTATCTTGAAACTGACGCTATAAAAGCAAGAAGGGGGATTACCACATGTATTAATACTCCCTAACGAATTACCTAAACTGGTAGAACAGTTAACAGGATAATGACAGGTCACAATTTAATTCATTTTTTTAAATGATGCCTTTTTGTAGGGAGTGGGAGTTTTACATTGCAAAGTAAAAAGTAGGTCTTTTAGCAACTTTTCAGCTTTATTTTAACAGGAAGACCCCAGGAACAATACCGTGAAACATTTCAGACAAGAACGGACACTGAGTAGAATCATCGACAAATCGCTCCTCATATAAAAAAAACGTCAAGTTTTTGCGGGATTCGAACCAATTGTTGTGCAAGGCAAGTGATTCTGAAGCCAACGGTATTTACCAGTCTGCCCAGGACCACCATAAAAACAAGATTTCATCAGGCAATGTAGCGTCTGGACTGTATACAAACTGTATACAAACTGGAGGGGCGGTAAGCCGAATAATGTTGGGAATCAGGATTGTGTATCTATGAACTCAGCGGGTGAATATGTATGGAAAGATGCTAGATTTACACAGAGAACTTGCTGCATCACACTAGAATGCATCCAAGGAAGAAGGTTCCCACGCACAGAAGGAATACAAGTAGGGCCATTCAGGCCCGCCGACCACTTCAACCTGCTTACTCTGCCGAGCCTGATAAGCCACCAATGTCTGTCAGTCTTATCATGATTAATAATTCCATTATCCTATCATCTGTAGCATCTGTCATTGTTCTATATGAATATTGTTCACATATACAGCTGTTCCTTCGTTAAATGTTCGAAAATTAATGAAGCCAAGCCGTATGAAAACCCTGTGCAAGTTGAGTAAATCGAGTAAAAAATGATCCCTCGGAAGCATTAATCATAACAAAATTACATGAAAATTGCAGACTCAGTTTGATTGAGTATGTACATGAAGTCGTATTTAATCGTACTAGAACGTACTAGCCCGTACTTGGCCCGTATTACAATCGTATGTATTCGTATGCAAATCGTGTTCAAACCTTGATGGACCGAGTATGTCCATGCTTTTTTCGTATATACTCGTGCTATATTAGAGTCTTAACTGTACCAACTAATCGCCTGGCACGGTTGGAGCTAAATACTCGTACCAGTCAATCCGTGTATAACCGAGTATACCGTATGGGAACGGTGTAACCAACCCTGTTCCGGGCTTTACATTCAAATAATTGTTTATATTCCCTTCATAGGGTTTTATTTCATTTTTTATTTGTATTTCATTTATAATGCAACATAATATTACAAACAGCTGCAATCAATACACTCAGGTAACAAGATTAAATAATATGCATTCCTTATAGAATTCCTAAACAGTGTGAAATTATTCCCGTTAGGAAATAGATACAAGTGTTGCTCGGAATGTAATGTGTATCCCGAAACAACCAATTTTCAATCACAACCTAAATTCAAACACATTCTTAATTCTGTGGCGCTGATGTCATGTCTGACTAAAGTACATAAAGTCACTTGTTGTTTTAACTTAAACACTTGCAGGAATGCCATACTTGATTAATTGTCAGATGTTATCAGAAAAACAATAAGAAATTGTTTATTTTAAGTGACACAATGTAAATTGCCCAACTTTAACTATCTCAAAATAGCCACTTGTTTAAAATAGTGGTAAAAATTGTTCCAAGCAAGTTCATTTTTTTATGAAGTATTGGCTACAGAGTTTTACCATTTACCTCAGTCTTCGGTGTATTTAAAACATTTATTTATATGATGTACCTCTAAATATTCATCAGACTTTACGTAGGGGTCCTTATTGATAAAATCTTGAATTGTAATCAAGTTTTTTTCAGGTGATGATTGTAATTAATCTTTGTAAGCGATACCATTTGGCAGATCTAGACAAGTTTCCATATTTGGTAATATTATAAAGTGGGGAAGGTACAATGGCTGTAATAATTGGATGCATTTATCATTTTGCACCCCAAATAGCGTACTGAGAAGTGACACCTTAAACTGCCCTTTTTATACACATTAACAGTAGTCATACCATACATTGTACTGTACATATGTTATAACATTTAGTGTAAGTTTTTTAAAATCCTGTAAAAACTGTTGAAAATCATTGAATAGACTGTTGTGAAATTTTCTACAATTTTTAGTAGCCCTGATTTATCTTGAACAAATTCTTTAGTGGTGATTACCCTGCTGTTTGAATTTAGGTTAAAATATCACTGGGAGTGACCTGAGTGGGTCATATCGTTTTTATTGTTTTTCTAAGAAAGATTAAGACATATTGAAAATGTACCAACCATAAAATGAATAAATGTTGATAGATGCATTAATATCTAATATGAATTTAAAGCATAATTTCCCCTTCCGTTTATTATTGGCTAAAAACAACTTAACTGATTGAATATTGGTTGTTCCGGGATATTGTACGATATTTCAAAAGCATTCGACTCAAATATTGAAATGAACCGTACATCCCCTCGCGGTCTGAAGTACATAATTTGAATCACTGAAACCATTTCTGGAATGCTTCGCGGAACATTGATTTATGTAGACCTCTGAGGCACTGACTAATGGCCGAGCAAACGATCTGTCAAGACTTGTATTTACAACCAGATAAGATTTTATTTTAAGTTTTGCTAGCAGCAGTTTTATTTCCGCACTGCTTACTTTTTGAACAGACGGAAGGAACTGAAACTATTTTGCAGAATTTAAACATAGTAAATCGATGTGCAGTTTTTTGGACTTCCTTTGACCAGTATCATGATCACTCTTTTGTTATTTTTTTGTATATTTCGTGACGCTCTATATCTTTCGAACCGATGAAAAATTAAGAGGCGAGGTCAAACATAGTCATTTAAAAAGGAGATTATTATGTTATAACTCCGATAAAAAATAACACAAAAATTTTACGTTTAGAATTGGTTATCTTCCCAACTAAAGAATACTCTATTTAGTTAGATGCTAAACTTCACACACAAAAATGGTTCATATTTGACAGAGAAAAAAGGGTTTTATCATTTGATGTTTAGTCCGATATTCATTTTGATTTTTTGGAGGCTACCTCGAGGCTACCTGAACTTCTTTAATATTGTCAGGATATTGTAATTTTATTACGTAATAAAATTTAATGAATGTTAGGGAGCTCTACAACTTCAATCTATATGAGTTGTTCGATCAATTAAAACTTGTTATTTTGTCATTGTACAAATCACTTTTGTTATTCTGGCTTACATTATACTGCATTTGTGGTGTTAATGTTTATAAGTTGAACCCAGTTTCTGAATGAGATATTCACTGATAAACTTGTTTTGACGAAACCAATATAAGTTACCTTGTCCAGTTTGATTTTCGTTGGTTTACGGTTGATGAGTGTTATACATGTATAATGTTCTTGATAATGGTAACGGTCATTTCAAATCAGGGAATGTAGGTTCTAACAGAACATTGGACCGGACCATGTTTCCTCAAAACTGGGACTTAAGTTATCTTAAGTCCCAGCTCAAAATGACAATAGAATAAGCTAAAAAAAGTAAGGTGGACTCATGGGCGTAAATAAAGCTACAATATTTCTACATATTGCTTCATAAAATATTAAAAGAGAAAAAAATATATACAGATAATAAAACACAAGAAATGAGTCTTGCAAAACTCTTCCAATATTACACAAAACCATTAGAACCAATCTCTCAAGTAAAGAAAATAAGAAGCCCTAACGAAAGCCTTACTAGGTAAAATTGACAATGTTGCAGGCTTGGTTTGAATGAGCTAAAAACCAGATTAGAATATGATTTCGTCACATATGAATTTGAAAAAAAAATGTAAAGCGAATATGTCAACTTCAAAAAGTTGATATTTTTATTAGAAGTTTTATATTAATATCTTAGAATTTTCTTATAAAGAAATTCAGAATTATCAAATTCTATGCATTCGTCAAAAGAAAACAGCTTCTTTAAAAGAAACTGTAACAATTAATAATAAAATGTGTCTTTATTGCACAGGTTGGAATAATAATTTGAATGTGATATGTTTTATTACAAATAATTGTATCTAAAGTTTAATTCATACCAACAACTATTGCATATAAAATAAAAATAAAATCTATGAAGCTTACCGTAAAGCAAATTGAAAACGTTATTTACAATATGTTACCAACATAGTAAAAGCACACCAAAATATTTAAAAAGAAATGAAAAAAGCAACCAAACAACTCAAACGATAATTCTTCCGTAGGCGATATTCTTCCCGTTGCAATTTCAGTTTCATATCATATTCTGTTCAGCTATGATTGTCCATATCTTGAAGTTTTTTTGCAAGGGCAGCAAATGAAAAGAACCCAACGGTACACCATACACCAAATATTACCTACATTGTAAGATATCGGAACATAAGACTGACATTAGTGTCGTTTAAACAGAAATGCACAGAAATGTAAGACTGAAAGAAAAAGTAGTTCATTCTCCATAAGAAAGTACAAACGTTGAACTTAATTTAAAACTGTTTCACTTAATGCTTTTCTCATGACAAAAGTATAGGACTAATGTATTGATTGATAAAGAAAACTATTAAGAAAAACAAAATGACATTTATAAAATGCATTGACAGGCAAAGGAACAAAAAGATATGGGTTTTATCTTTAAAGAGCAATTATGATTGAAATGTTATTTAAACATTTTATAAACCTGGTCACTCCTCTCAGTTCCATATCTACATTTGCTTGCAAAGTGTTCACAATTGTTCCAAAGTAAATTGTAACCATTCTCCCCGAGCATTCCCTTGGCTGTATTTACAATCTCTTCAGGAGGCTTTGGTCTACACAATTAGAGATTAAAAATATTTTGAAAGTTTAATATCTTACTTCTTGATGTTAATTTATTGTTTTACATGCAATAAGTGCTTGCAAATTATGCGTAATTAATAAATAATTTCATAATTTAGTAAAATACAGCATACCTTTGAATATGTTTGAATACAATCAACTCTTTTGACAAATTTGTTTCATATGCAGAATAAAACAACGTTTTATTTTTGTTGTTTTTTCTTAAATTAAAACATCCTACAACATAAATAAAAAATAAAGCGTCTATATTGGGTTGAAACAATATCTTTCGCAGTTTTGCTTTTGAAGAGGAACAAGCGGTATCTTAACTGAAATATGACTTTTTGATGAAATGAGATATTGCAAGGTTTTTCCCCATATCACATTATACTATTACTAGATATTACTAGTGGAACTTTTGAAAACAATAAGTTTTAAAACAATTAAACGGCATACGTAAACACATACGTAAGCCATTGATCTTTTCTATTGTTTTTCTCTGCTTTGCAGTGTTTTCCATATTTCCAGAAATCGTCTAGTTGTACCCATCCTTTAGAGACAGGTGGGCGGGAGATTGGAAAAAGTTCTAATTTTATAGTTCTTTTAATCGGCTCCTCCCCACACAAATGGATAATTTTAGAGTCCCCTAAAAATATAGACAAATGTGCTGTTGCTATAAAAAAAACTTAGTATAGGAGTAACAATATTAAAACAACAACAGCAGCAAATTAGCAATCACAATCATAAAATTATATCTTTCAGTTATAAGCTTGACTTCCTGTGAAAAACACAGTGAGGAAATAAATAAAAAATAATGATTATACGATTTCCATTGACAATTTTACCCTTAATTGCCTGACCTTACAAACCTATAGGTCAAGTACTGACGTTGTAATCGATAAAAATCGGACGTAGATATTATTTAGAGCTACAAGATCTGCAAAGTGTGAGAAAATTATGAACCCGGGACTTTCGGAATAATTCCGCGGCACTACCGACTGAGCTATATGGCCGCCTACACATACTTTCCCCTGAAACGTGAACAGTTCTAAACCGTAGCACCGCATAAACTGAGTTAACGTTGTAAACATCAACTTAAATGCTAACTTCTGAAAATATTATTATATATTTACTACACCAAGCCTGCATTAATGTTTACGAATTCACAATATGTATCCATGTTCCCTTTCATTGCCTGAAAACAATCCAAACTGTATCCATTCTCTTTAATAATGAACATTATGGAATCGTTGTGCGAAAGACAATCTTACGTAACGTGTGTATAATATTCAGAAAGCAATATTTTTAATGATGTTTTTTTCTTAAAAGAATTTTAAATGCGTTGTTGGCTTTTGAACTACAGAACTATTGTCCGATTATTGTCAATTTTCTTAAAGCTTGGTGTCTAACTAAATAATAATACAAGGTACTTTTTGTAATGAGATACTGCGTACAATAGAGAAAAAAATAATACCCCTTGTCCAACTTGGGGCAATTGATTTTAACTATTAATCTATTAATTTAGTTTTTGTAACATAATTTGTAAAATCCAACATTTTCCCACGAACCTATGTAAACAGCCCAGTGATAATACATGTACCAATTGCGTTTAAATGTTACAAGGTCCCCCTTTTTAAGCTTTTTGATGATCTCTTCGTTGTGTTTTGTGATGAACTCTTGTCGCTTGGACAATCTCACGCCATGTATATTCTATAAAAGAAATGAATGGTACACAGTGAATTCATTCAAAAAGTCTAAATATGCAAGAACATAAAAACGTATAAAGGCAATCATTGATTATTACTGAAAATATGTTATTCTGTTTATTTAGCAAATACCAGAAAAGTCGAAAGCAAATAGAACTTATCGAATACTTGTGTTTATTTGTTTCATTTTGTCGATCCTTGACTTCCTTCAACTGTAAATATTTCTTGTCGTCAACAATCAGATGGGATACTCATTGACATCATGGAATTAACTGTTTCCTTGTAGTTAGAATTAGGACAAATTGTAAGAAATGAACTTTTCACGAATTGAAGAAATATCACTTTTTATAATAGTTGATATACAGAGACAAGCTTGCGGTTTTTGAAGGATTCAATAAATAAATCTCGGGGACATCAATATGTACACGTCGACCTGAAGCTGAACTGGTGGAAAAGACTTATCTTTTCTTTTATTTCAACAAATCAATGGTTTAAAATTGTGTCCATTTCAAAATTCAACAGTATTTTTTACGGCTTGCACGAAAGTATATGTACTATTTTTCTAAAATTGTATGTATATAACAATTAATTGCATTTTTCATTTAATTTGGAATGTTAATACCACTTCTGTGGTACTGACCTCTGTTGAAAAAAACTAAAAAATAGAGGATATTTGTTTCGTTTAGTGTAAGATAGGAATATATTTCACCGAGTGAGCACCAAAAGGTATATTTCACGAGTGGCGCAGCCACGAGTGAAATATGAACTATGAACTTTTGGTGTTCACAAGGTGAAATATATTTCGATCTTACACTAAACTAAACAAATTTTCTTTTTATTATATGCAAAGAAACGTTTTAAAAAGACATTAAACCTAATACTGAATGAAAAGCGCGCCAAATAATAATACAACGTGACGTCATTTACGACGTCACGTCATTAAGTACCCAGTTCTGTGTACGCAGGTATGTCACTGAAACAACGTAAGGGGCTTAAATTCAAAACAGTGAGATTATCAAAGTGGTAATTTCACTGTTTCAAACAGTGAAATTACCAGTTTTATATCACTGATATATTTCTATAAACCACCGAAAAGCATGTAATAAAATTTCTTCTTTACAGAATACTATACATAATTATTTGTAAATGAATATAATTACTAAATTGTAAGCATTATGAAGTGGTTTTTGTTTTATCATTTCAGCTAAGGTTGCTGGGCAGTGAGTATGATAACCTTCCAATATATTGAAGCAAAGGCACTAAAATACAAATTAAGATATTAAATGATTGTAAAAATGCAAAGATTTGATATTCGCAATACTTGCGAAAATTGCACTACACGAATTAACCAATTCATACTGTTTTTCCTCTAAATTTGGCATATTTTTTGTTTTGTTGTTTTTTGTTGTTTTTTTTGTTAATTTCTTATGTCACACGTAATTATACTGAGTTTTATTATCTTCACATGAAACTACTCTCCCTATAAGATATATCATAAATTCAATGCACCGTGTATAGTTTTATCTGTAATAATGAAAAAGAGATACACCTTACCATAAGAGCTACATCCATAAGAGTTTGGCCTGTTTCCTATTGGAATAAAACAAATTGCACATTTAAACTTTATGATGCGCTGAGATAGCAGAGTTAAGCACATAAATGAAAGAGACATATCAGATTATATAATAAAGATATTATATGCGTAACATGAATTCCAAATGATTTTTTAAAATCCGTATCGGGTTCAAAATAGTGTCTTATATAAAAGACTTTTCAAACAAAAAACAGAATTTCCTGTTAAAAAGATCTATGAATGATTTTGAATTAACTACTTAAATGGGATAATAGTTGTTCACCGACATTACATTTCACATGAAAACAAAACTGTTGTTATGATTAAAGATCAGTTATTGATTGTAACACATTTGCTTTATCACATGGAAATTGTATGACATCTTTAAATCTAAAAAAAAAATGTCATAATGATCTAAATTGTATCTTTAAAATGGCAAACAGTAAATTACCAAAGACGATCCAACCACAAAAGCATCCTGAACCATTTCATATGAAAACAATTTGTTTGAAGGATAAATAAATCAAGTATCGTTTAATATACACATTAAGCACTTATTTGAAATAAATGAAAAACTGTACCTTACCTTAGGAGTCACATTCATAAGTGTTTGACCTGTTCCATTGACCATTCCCTATGAAAACAATTTGTGTTATGATGAATAAATCAAGTGTCCTTTAATATACACAGTAAGCACTTATTTCAATAAACGAATTAAAAGTGAAAATATATTTGCTTTCGAATCCCATTTCACATGACACAAAACTGTTATTGTTTCTTCTGATAAGCTTTGAGTTATCCTTTATAATAAATATTTTAGCACATGGAATTCTTATTACATCATTTAATATTGAAATTAAAACGAGTTGGTTTGAACGAGATCAGATGTATGTGCAAAATAACAAACGGTTTCTTACCAAATGAGTTTTTTTCCTAATAGCACCACCACCATTTATTCCCTATAGCAGTGAAGCAATTAACAAATTTAGTTAAGAAGATGAACTTTAAAATAGTTAAATTAACAAACGGGTCCTTACCAAATGAGTTCCTATTATTATCATTTCTAATTTCCGTAATTCCACATATTTGTATAAATTACTCAATAACTGTTATTGATCTCATTTCATCGTTTATTTGTTGAAAACTTCTAAATTTCAAATCTAGAATTAATAATTAAATTTACAGAATTTTTCATTCTCACATGTGGTTGATAAGTCATTGATAATTAACTCTCAAAAATCCCTATACTGACTATAGCTATTTAATCTCATTTTTGAATCTCATTCTTCAATCTTCAATCTCGAATGCCCTTAAAAAATCTTGTATCAGTATTTGTTTTATATGAAATACCATATATCTCCATATTTGGAGGTTACACTAGCGTTATTACAAATTCAAGCCTTCTATATTTATGACAAGTGTTGCCCAAGTTACCATACCGGAGACAAAAAGACTAATTCCTGAAAATATTGGTCATGGTAACCGATGATTAAGTTTCGTAAACACAACAATTGCTGGCCTCTTGTCCAGAATTTATGAAGGTAACCGTTGACAGGGTTACCATACTAAAATAACCCAAACTAATACCCAGTCTAGTACCAACAAATTTATAGTGATAAATAATGACGAAACACATGAGGTCTAAATTTTCATACAAATTCATAAAATCAAACCTTAACCAGATGCATTGATTGCTAAAACTACAACACTATCCCAATCGCACTATCAATCCTTCCCTATAGCAGTAAAGCGATTCACAAATTTAGTTTCAAAGATGAACATAGTTAAAAGCACGTTATGCATTTTTCTATCTAACATGAGTCTTATTATGTTTAGATAATAGGTAAAGAACAACACATGTTTTTATAACATGATTTTTATGATGTTTAAGTAATTGTTTGAGAGCATGTAAAGTACTAATGACATGATGAAAGTAATAATGAATGTTGAATTATTAGTAAAGGAACTATTAAACGTAAACAAAGTAACATTTTTACTTCAATACAGAATTATTTATCTCTTCAAATGTATTTAAAAACAGCAAACGAACCAAAAGATGGTTGAGACAATGAATGATGTTTTAAAAACCATTAAAAACCTTGTTATAATGACAAAGTGGTAAACTGTACCTTACCCTAAAAGCTGATTTCATAGGTGCTTGGCATTTTTCCTATTGGAATAAAATGAAAAGCACATTTAAACTTTTTGATGCGCCGAGCTAGCAGTTTTAAGATGAAAACTAAGCCGCATGACAGGTAATATAAAAATGAACATAAAGTAAGTGTCATGAATTTTTTCAATGAATTTTCTTTTGACCCTAGAAGGGTTTTACAATATTGTCTTACATAAAAGACCTATCAAACTCAGTCAGAATTTTCTGTTAAAAAGATCTACAAATAATAGGCATTTGAAATAACTACTATAATAGCATAATATTATTTCATCGACATAACATTTCACATGAATACAAAACTGTTTCTTTTGATTAAATATCAGGCAAAGAGTGCCACCTATTTGCTTTATCACATGGTAATTGCAAAAAATATCATAATAATCTTAATTGTATCTTAAAATGGCAAACAGGCTAGTATTAAAGATGATCCAACCGCAAAAGCATCCTTAACCATTTCCCATTAAAACGATTTGTTTGAAGTATGAATAAATCAAGTATCGTTTAATACACACATTAAAAACTTATTTCAAATCAATTAAAAACTGTACCTTACCTTAGCAGCCGCAATGATAGCTGGTTGGAAAGTTTCCTATTGGAACAAAATAAAAAGCACATTGTAACTTTATGATGCGCCGAAATAGCAGTATTAAGATGAAAACTAAGCCATTAATGATCATGTAATTTAATAATTGACATGAAATAAGTTACGTGAATTTTTAATGAATATTTAATGAATCCGGAAGAGTTTTAAAATATTGTCTTACATAATAAAAGATATAAAAGACCTATCAAACAAATGTCAAAAATTCTTGTTAAAAAATCTATGAATTATAGGCATTTGAATAAGCTACTAAAATGAATTTCATCGACATGATATTTTATTTGATTCTTGAATCTTATTCTTCAATCTTCAATCTAGAATGCCTTTAGAAAATCTTGTACCCGTATCAATTTTATATGAAATACCTTATATCTCCATATTTAGAGGTTACACTAGCGTTATTACAAATTTAAGCCTTCTATATTCATAACCACAAGTGTTGACCAATTTACCATACCAGAAACAAAAAGACTAATTCCTGAAATATTGGTCATGGTTACTGATGATTAAGTTTCTTAAACGCAACAATTGCTGGCCTCTTGTCAAGAATTTATGAAGGTAACCGTTGACAGGGTTACCATACTAAAATAACCCAAACTAATACCCAGTCTAGTACCAACAGATTTATAGTGATAAATAATGACGAAACACATTAGGTCTAAATTCTCATACAAACTCAATCATAATGATTGCTAAAACTACAACACTATCCCAATCGCACTATCAATCCATCCCTATAGCAGTAAAGCGATTCACAAATTTAGTTTCAAAGATGAACTTAGTTAAAAGCACGTTATGCATTTTTCTATCTAACATGAGTCCTATTATGTTTAGGTAAAGAACAACACAAATTTTTATAACATGATTTTTATGATGTTTAAGTAATGGTTTGAGAGCATGTAAAGTACTAATCACATGATGAAAGTAATAATGAATGTCGAATTATTAGTAAAGAAATTATAAAACGTAAACAAAGTAATATTTTTACTTCCATACAGAATATTATATCTCTTCAAACAGCAAACGAAGCAAATGATGAATGTTTTGAAAACCATTACAAACCTTGTTATAATGACAAAGTGATAAACTGTACCTTACCCTAGGAGACGCTTTCATAGGTGCTAGGCATTTTTCCTATTGGAATAAATTGAAAAGCACAAATAAACTTTTTGATACGCAGAGCTAGCAGTATTAAGATGAAAACTAAGCCATAAATGAAAGAGACATGACAGGTAATATAAAAATGAACATGAAATGAGTAGCATGAATTTTTAATGAATTTTGTTTTGACCCTAGAAGGGTTTTACAATATTGTCCTATATAAAAAACCTATCAAACTCAGTCAGAATTTCCTGTTAAAAAGATCTATAAATTATAGACATTTGAAATAACTACTATAATGGCATTATATTTTTTCATCGACTTCACATGAATACAAACCTGTTTTTATTGATTAAATATCAGTCAAAGAGTGTTCCCTATTTGCTTTATCACATGGAAATTCTATCATTAAATTTGGAAAAAATATTATAATAATCTAAATTGTATCTTTAAAATGGCAAACAGTATAGAACCAAAGATGATCCAACCGCAAAAGCACTCTGAAAACAATTTGTTTGAAGGATGAATAAATAAAGTATCGTTTAATACACAAATTAGGCACTTGTTTCAAATAAATAAACTTTACCTTACCTTAGCAGCCGCATTGATAGGTGGTGGGCCTGTTACCTATTGAAACAAAATAAAAAGCACATTTTAACATTATGATGCGCCGAAATAGCAGTGTAAAGCTGAAAACTAAGCCATAAATGATCATGTAATTTAACAATGGGCATGGAATAAGTAACGTGAATTTTTATGAATAGTTTGATGAATCCGGATGGGTTTTAAAATATTGCCTTACATAATAAAAGACATAAAAGACCTATCAAACAAATGTCAAAAATTCTTGTTAAAAAATCTATGAATTAAAGGCATTTGAATAAACTACTAAAATTAATTTCATCGAAATGATATTTGATTTTTATTGGTTAAGGTTCAGTTAATGATTATAAATTTTGCTTATCACATGGAAATTCTATTACATATTATTAATTATATCTGGAAATATTATCATAAGGATCTAAGTTGTATCTTTAAAACAGTGTATTACCAAAAAAGCATCCTGAACCATACACTATGACAACAATTTGTTTTAAAGAAGAAAATAAATCATGCATCGTTTAATGTAAACATAAAGCATTTATTTAAAATAAAGAGTGAAACAACAAAATATAATTGCATTTAAATCCCATTTCACATGACACAAAACATGAATTGTTTTTTTCTGATAAAGATTGCGTTATGCTTTAATACATAAATTTTAGCACATGGAATACTTATTACATCATTTAATATTAACAAAAAATATTTTTACTTCCATACGGAATAATATATATCTTAAATTGTATTTGCCAAACAGCAAACGAAGCAAAAGATGGTTGAAAACAATGAATGATGTTTTGAGAACTATAAGAAATTGTAATTTTGACAAAGTGATAAATTGTACTTTACCCAGGAAGCCGCATTCTTATGTTTTGGGATTTTTCTCTATTGGAATAAAATAAAAGCACATTTAAACTTCATGATGCGCCGAACTAGCAGTATTAAGATGCAAACTAAGCAAAGAGAAAAAGACGTATAAGATAAAATAATAATGAACATGAAATAATAAAAGTGAATTTTTAATGAATTTTATGCATCCAGAAGGGTTTTAAAATATTGTGTTACATAATAGACATAAAAGGCCGATCAAACAAAATTCAGAATTTCCTATTCCAAAAGATCTATATATTATACGCATTTGAATTATCTACTAAATTGGCATTTTTATAATAAATCATGTATCGTTTAATGTACACATAAAGCACTTATTTCAAATAAGTAAAACGAAAAAAATTAAATGCATCCATTTCAAATGACACAAAAAAGTTATTGATTCTTCTGATAATACTGCAATTAAAAACGAGTTGGTTTGAACGAGTTTAGTTTTATGTGCAAAATATCAAACGGTTCCTTACCCTTGTCAATTTAACTCCTTTAGTAACCGCATCACCAACACATTTTCTCTATAGCAGTGAAGCAATTATCAAATTTAGTTAAAAAGATGAACATTATGCCTCATACACGATTTCTTTTTTTTTCTAACATGAGTTTTATTATGTTTTTATATAAAAGTTTTAGAACAATGAATATTTTTATAAAATGTTTTTTTTTTTATATTTAGATAATGGTTTAAGAGCATGTAATATACTAAACACCTGATGAAAGTAATAATAAATGTGTAAGTATTTGAAATAAAACTGTAAAACGTAAGCAAAGTAATATTTTTTCTTCCATACAAAATAATTTGTCCTTTAAAATTATTTGCCAAACATCAAACGGTGTAAAAGATGGTTAAGGTAATTGGCCAATGAGTGACTTTTTGAAAACTATATACAATATCACAAGAATTAAAAAACCTTTGAGAAAGGAAACATGAAAGCATTTTTGTTGGATTTTCGGCATTTAAGCACCAAATTACATTTTACCCTATACAAGGAACAAAGCGATATACAAAATTAGTCTTTTATATATGATTGTTTAAATATTATTTATTGTGCAAGAAACGTGAATTATCCAAAAATGAAAAATTAAATAGAAATCAATTGGACGAAAATGTGTTGTTCATTAAAAAGATAAAATCATACATTGCTTGAGGATATGGATTTTTTTAACGTCATTAAACTTTGAAATTTAACTGCAACGAGTTCGGTTGTATATATAAAATGGCACACGGTTCCTTACCAATATAGCTCCACCATCAACGACATCCTCACTTTGTCCCTATTGGAGTAAATCAATTAACAAATTTAGTTTAAAAGAAAAAGTATCATTTAATATGATATTATGCACTATTTTTCAAGATAAAATTATTACAAACACGAAGTTAAATCTTTCAAAGCTTATCATTGCATTTGAAAGCAATTTCTCATGCAGCAAAACCGTTAAGTTGTATCTGTAAAAAGAAATGCCTTACCAAAGAATCTCCATCCCGAGAACCACCTCTTATTTGTCTATGTAGGAGTTAAACAATTGACAAATTAAGTCTTAAAGATAAATAAAGTGAAGTATCATTTTGAAAGTTCATTTGGCACTTTGATTTAAGGGACAGACATTATATAAACATGTGAGATCGTCTTATTAAGGTACAGAAAAAGTCTGAATGAATCTAAAAAGTTTTGTCGTATATTTATCAAATATATATATCCGAAATATGCAATTCCTTATAAACATGAGGTATATCGTAAACTCGTGCATCTAAACGCACAGTTTTTTGCTGATGAAAATGGAATAATTAGCCCAAAAGCACCTTTAATCTATAGCTATACGAGTAAAGCAATAAACAAATAAAAAGAAAATTTAGAATGTTGAAAAGCTATTTTTAGATTTTTCAATCTGTTTGTCAACCATCGCATTTTATATCGTGCTTTTTTTATAAAACACCTAAGGTAAATAATTGTAACTGACCTCGTCTCCATTGACTTCATTGTCTTCATTGACTTCATTGACTTCATTGTCTTCATTGACTTCATTGTTATCATTGCCTTCATTGTTTTCATCGACTTCATTGACTTTATTGTTTTCATCGACTTCATTGTCTTCATTGACTTCATTGTCTTCATTGTCTTCATTGACTTCATTGTCTTCATTGACTTTAATGCCATCATCGACTTCATCGTCTTCATTGACTTCATTGTCTTCATTGACTTCATTGACTTCATTGTTTTCATCGACTTCATTGTCTTCATTGACTTCATCGCCAGTTCCAGATAGGTTTTTCTATAAGATAATATTCAAAAATAATATTAACTTATTGACTTGAGTTTTGGTGCACATAACTTTATTTATTAAACCTGTAAACATTGGTTCACAACGTAGCAATTAGCTTCCTGCGAAATGTCTTTATTGTACAATCTTTTTATAGAATTGTGCAATTTGTAACTAATTGTTTACTTACACTGGAATAATTACATCGAAACAATAGCGTGTTGTTAATTTTTATTTGTAAAGAACTTACTAAATCATATCTGCAGTAGATGGCCACTTTCTTGCAACTGTTCCACATTTCATTGTAGTATATGTTTCCGACCATTGTCTTAGCTAATTCTACTATATCCTCAGGGTCATCCGGGCTTGGAAATCAATAAAGAAATCTTTAAAATTGTAAAACAATCTATTTTTTCAAAATTTAACAGCAATGACAGTTTTGTGTACCATAATATAATTGCAGACTTATGACTATATAGATTTTCATTGCCAGACATTATATGTGTTTGGGTTTATATGATAAACAATATAATTTTTATCGTGTAATTGCATCTGATATAAAAATCATTCTGCGGAGAAAATGATATTTATTCAAACGAAAAAAGAAAAAAGAAGAATATTAACGATTTATTTCTATCTTTTATTCACGGCGGATATTTAAAGAAAAAAATCCAAATACCGCTAATCTCTACAAAAGCCGATAACGATACATGGTAAGGTAACACAATACCGGTAGTTGAAATAGTCCGACAAAAACATAACGGGAGAGGCATAAATTTCTGTGGTTTTAAATCTGCGATGTCGTAATGAACCGCAAAAATAGCAGAAATAAATTTCCCGCAGAAAAGGTGCTTATTCGGTAGAATAACAATGCTGAAATGTAGAAATGGTTTTTATTCATATCAAAAGTAAGAAAGAAATTGCAATATCTTAAAATCACAGTTATATTGACTTAATCAAGGACTTATTCAATGTGTCTTACGTCATCTCTGGTGTATCCTTGCAATTTCTCTCGTATGTGTCAAATGCATCGGCAACATAAATGAAATCTTCCTCATTAACAGCTGCTTTTGTATATTTTTTACCGGCGACAGTGAACAAAGCTTCACTTTGATCACTTGAATCTGCTATGGTTTCCCCAATAAGGTGTACAACTTTCTTGTCCCCTATAACATAATCAATTACTCCGTATAAAGAAATATAAGTTTGAGCCGAATTGTCTTATAATGAAAGATTGTAATTCAAAAAAGTACGTTGGTAGTATACAGTATCAAACATAACGACAAACCAAAAAAAATGATAATATTAGGATGTTGTTGGCAATTATGAGTTGCATGACCTTATATTATATACATTTATAAACAAGTAGCAGATAGAGAATTGATCTAGAACATATAATTATTATCCACCATAAAAATATTCATACTAAATAAGTTTATGAACATTTGCTTTAAAAGCAATATTTTATAAAAATATCGAAAAGACACATTTTTATTCTTTTATCAATATTTGAAATTCTTGTGATCAAAATTGTGACTGAAATTGCCAATTTGCTTGAAATCTCATATCGCAACTCAAGCAAACAATGACGACTTCATAATTAATAAATTGAATGATATCTATCAATAACGCGGGATGAATGTAATGAATGGTTTAACTTATTGTTCATTTGACTATAGAATAGTGTGGTAGTGTGGAAGACATTTTAAAGATTAGTCGGTTAATGATTATTGTATTTTATAACTTGTGTATCTGCAAGTCTTTTTCATTTTTGTCTCCAAATCAAATATCTTATAGTTATCATTTTAGTTGTTTTATTAAGATACTCATCTTTCATTTCAGTCATATTAAATAAGAAAATGTGCTGTACATTTTTGTCATTCAAATGCAGTATAAAGCAGTGGTGCACGTACCGACATAAATTCCCCAATGTGTGGCTGTTTGACTGTGAAATGTTATCATATCACCCGCCACGAGTGATTCGAGAAATTGTTTTGCGTTCGTTTCAATGGCCATTGTTTCAGAATGTCAATAAATGTATATGTATCAGTTCCTCACTCTGAAAAAAAGGTTTCGCTTTGGAATTATCGTGATCTAATAACTTCAATTTAAAATCAATTCCTAAACAAATGTAAATGAGTTAGTTTCAAAATGTTTCTGATATAATTTTGTTTTCCATGTTAATTTATTTTCCTCGTTAATATGTTTACGTAGGTCGAGGGCATCCTACTCTATACCGTACATTGTATTTGTGCATATTAAACATATGAATTAATATAACAGTAACATACATATAATGTATTGCAGGGGATATGACCAATATACAATTACTACCATATTTAACAATGTTACATATAATCATATGTTATATATTATTCAGTAAACAAGGAACTTCATAATATATTTATTTCTGACATGAAAGAAAAGAAAAAAGGAACAGGTTTTTGCAAATAATATATTTTTGATCATTAAAACTTCTGGCTATCGTTTTTAGCTTTACAAACATATGAAAGGTTAACTATAGCTCAATCTTTTGACTCCATGTCTATGGAAGGTATCTAAATCATTTTGATACATTGCTTTCTCTCTCAAAATTATAAATTGGTACTTAATATATTAGTGTGCTCTTGTAGTATTTGGTACTTGTTCTTTTACTCTACAGTTGTAAATACATCTTTTCAGAAAAAGTAAAATTATATTTATTGCAGTTGAATTACTATCTTTCAAACCTAGGATAAAGTTGCAACAGTTGAGCACATTTCTAAAATTGCCAAACCTTTCAAAGACAGAAAATATTAAATTGTTTATTATCGGACAAAACCAAAACATGTGTTCTTATGATTCTGTCTATCTTTTAATTTGATTTTTAAAAGTATTGAATGAGTTGCAATTATTCTATGATTAATTCTGTATTGAGACCATTGAAGGCTTGAATCATTGGATATTTTAAAAGGTAAAGCAAAAATGTAACTCCATTCTTCTTCACTTAATGTTACATTTAGCTTTTCACACCATTTTGATATACAAGTAGGTATTATCTTGGTTTTAATAAATACCTCATACATAGGATGTGTAAACTTAGTAAATTTTAAAATAACTTTTAAATAAGGTGGTATAAAAGGTCTTTGTAGGACATTGCATGTTCTGCATAAGTTGAAAGGAAACTGAATACACTATTTACAATACCAAGATAATGTATAAAGTTAGACATAATATTATATTTGTCATTGAATTCATTTAAACTATAAAATTGTCCATTTGGTTTTAAAAGATCACCTATGACATGTACACCTGCATTAAACTAGTTTTTAAAAAACACTGGTTGATTGCCAAGAGTTATTAAAGGTTTATAGAAAATTGGATAAGAATATAACTCATTTTCATTTGTTTCTAAAAGTTTACAGAACATATAATATGCATTCAAAGTGTCTTTCCAAAAATCATTTTTTTATCTCACTAATCCTTTTTTCTAAATACCACAATTAATCAATTTCTCTATATCAAAAATTGTGCATGCTAAACCTATCCATTTGCCATTATTCTTTAAAATTCTTCTTATCCAAGATATCTTTAAGGATTAAATATATGCTTCAACGTCTATCATTCAGAGACCACCTTTATCATTGCTTTGTCTCAAGACCTCTTGTTTTATTTTACATTGACCATGCCAGACACAATCTCTGAAGGTTTCAGTTACTTTAATTATATTGAGACTTGGATTTGGCAGTGTTGTAAATAAATGTGTGAATATAGAAAACAATAAAGGTACTACGATTCTTCCGATAGGAGTTAAATTTTTCGTTTCCAACTGGATAATAGTTTCCGCATTTTGTTCATTTTTTCTTCATAATTAATTGTCACCATTTTCTTAAGTTCTACATGAAATTTTATACCTAACATATCAAAAGAAGACCGACTCCAAGACAATCTCCATTTAGTTTTAATGCTATTGTTACTATATTTAAGTTTACCAATCCAAACAACCTTGGTTTTATCAAAATTAACCTCAAGACCTGAAAACAATGAAAAATCTGCAAGTGTGTTTAGGAATTCATTTAAAGATTCATCAGTGCCATTAAATATAACAGTTGTATCGTCTGCAAATTGAAATAATTTATGTTCAATACTATTTATTTTAATACCTTTGATTTTTTTATTTGGTCTTATTTTTATGGATAATATTTCTGCACATAGGATAAAAATGTAACAACTTAAAGGGTTTCCTTGACGACAGCCCCTTTGAGTTTAATAAAGTCAGAAAGAAAACCACACTGACTTATTGTTGTTGATACACTATCTTTATAAAATATAGTAAACCATCTTTAAATATCGTTTCCAAAGTTAAATAAGGTTAAAGTTAGTAGCACAAAATTCCAAGATAATGAGTCAAAAGTTTTTTCAAAGTCTATGAGAAGGAGTAATCTTTTTCTTCTGTGTAGTTCATTCTTCATAATATCATAGATTAATATAGTATTTCCCCTATAAACCTGCCTTTAATAACGCCTGTTTGATCATTACTTACTATTTTATCTAAAAATTTCTTTAAACGATTTGCAATGCAGTCTGATCCTATTTCATATACTCAATTTAACAGAGCAATTGGTCGCCAGTTTTTTGCATATATTCTAGATTTATTTCCTGTCGGAATAAGTGTAAGTATTCCCTGAGTTTGTGTATGCGACACAGACGCTGATGAAAAAGCATGATTTAAAGCCCTACATACAAACATACCAATACGGTTCCAAGAGCCTTTATAAAAGTCTGCGTTAAAGCCAGAAGTTCCTGGACTTTTATTGTTAGCCATATTTTTCAAAACATTTGACGCCTCATTTGTTGTTATTGGTCCTTCTAAAGATGCAGCATCATATTCTGATAATTTTGGAAAAGTTAAGCTATCAATAAAATATTTGAAAGTTCATTTAAATTTTCTATGTTGTTTGCTGAATATAATTTTTTTAAGAATGTCATTCTGGTTTGAAATTTCTGTTCCATCATCATTAATTACACTTAAAATTGTTTTTGTTGTATAGCTATTCTTTTCTAAATTACAGAACAATTTGCTTGGTTTTCCACCATCAATATTCCAATCAACTTTTGATCTTATCATAAAACCTTTCAAGTTTTTCATTCTGTATGTTATTTAGTTCTTCTTTGAAGTTATTTAATTGCTCAACTTTATCAACAGAAAATGAATTATTGAAATTTTCAATTTGAATTTATTGACTATTTCGCGTTTATTTCTTTTTATATGAACTATATGATATAGATTTTCCTCTAATTTCCATTAATAACGTCTAACGAAATAACTTATTATTTTTTGTTAATTGCAAGTCTGACGGATTTATATCTAAAATGTTTTCATAATTATATATCGGAAAAGCATATTGGATTATAGTTTTATCTATTATGTTATTGATTTCCTTCAGATAATCTAAATCTTTTAAAAGTGAATTATTATGCTTCCACAATCCTTTACCATGATCAAAACTTACAAATTTCAGTTTTAATAGAATCATAGAATGACCAGAACGAAAACGTGGTTTAATCATAGTATCTACTACACTTGTAAATACAATAAGGGTAATCTAAAAGAGATATAATCTTGCTTGTTGAAAGGGATTTGTTCTTCGCCAAGTAAAACGCTTAGTTGTTGGAGAAAAGATTCGAAAAGGGTCAGCAAGTTCTTTTTTTTTTTTGCATTTCGTTCAGAATGAAGGCGCGTGCTTTTTTATCATTTATATTTTTATAATTATCATAATCCAATTTTCGGGGTTTATAACTAAATTAAAATCTTCGCATATAAGGTGATCACTGTTTCCAATTTGATCTATCTCATCAAAAATATTTTTCAAAAAAAGATTGATTGTCCTCATTAGGACCACTTAAAGAATCAAGAGTGAATCTCGTTTCGGCTATAGTAATGTCAACAATTACATAATTGCCATACTCATCAACAATCTCTTGGTTTACATTGTTAACAAGTTTATTTGAAAGAAAAATTCCAACACCCCTTGAGTTTGAACTAGAAAAGCATAAAATAAATTTTGAACCCCATTCTGTATAAATATCTTTAAATTAGTCCTGGTGAAAAAAAGTGTGTATCCTGCAGACAAAATATATCACATTTGATTTGTTTTAAATATTTACAGTTTATAGACAAAATAGACAGATCAGTCATTAGTGTGGAAAAAAAAGATTACCTTCAAAAATCAGCCTTAACTCAAGCCAGAAGTATAACATGCTTAACATAGAATAAAAAGCAAATTTATTCAGTAAATATGAATGTAGAAAATTAAAGAAAAAGCGATGCGTTCGTGCAAATCAAATTAATTAAATTGAACTTATATAAAGAAAATGTAAAAATATTTTCCTGAAGACCAAAACTGACATTTTGTTTTCTAAAAAGTTACAATCATCCTTTTTTATACCTAGTATCACTACATTCCAAGACAGATGTAGCATAGTACAGTTTTGAGAAATACAAGTAGAAGAAAAGAAACTACAACTTTCTTGTAGCATTTTGGTAACAGCAATTAGTTACAATATGCAACAATACTCATTTGCCCTAAATGTACATTTTATTAACAATATAAACAACAATTGTTCTTCGTTTTATCAAAATACTGGCTTTTATTCTTAAACAAAAAGAACAAAACATCTTACCATTATTAAATGCTGAAAAACCATTAAAGTATGCTTATTCAACTTCTCATTAACATTTTCATTTATCATTACTTTATACATTATATTTTTTTCATTGGATTCAAATACTTTTTATACATTCGTTAAACATTACATATAATTTCTCATTACAAATACTGTGATAGTAAATTATAAATAGAAGAAAAGGAGAAACAAGACTGCATTTGTGAAAATGCTATGCCACCGCATTAATACAACACTAAATAGTAATGTAAGAACATAACATTTTTGTTTCTATACAATTGAAGATTGCCATAATGCATAAATTACTGACCTATCTAATTCTTATTATCAGATTAGTGGTTAAATCTATATTGTTATTCAAATAAAATATCATAGTAGGAATCTATCAATGCAGTTGAGTCTTGTAAATTTGGTGGTGAAGATCATATTTCACATAGCCAAAATTCCATGACCGTACATCAAAGGACAACACAATCAGTTATTTTGTCAAAATCTAGGCCAGCTGATATCAAAGTTCACTTGGTGACACTTGTATAATAAAATATACTTCAAATTGGTTAACAAACACTCGTATGGTTATAGTACTTTAAGTTGGTAACTCTCAAATACACATTAACTGATAGAACTACAAGTTGGTGCAGTCAATTGTCTTAAAAGTACTTCACTCATTTACAATTAATAATTCAACTTAGTAACGCACATAATTTTGTCAAAAGTGCAGCAGGTTGTACCTCTCAATATATTATCATGTATCTTACGCATATGACTTTCATACTTTATTTTGTACAAACATTTGCAAGAATAAAAGTATAATGCATTTAGCAAGTAGCAAAAGTAATTTTGCAGTCATATTGTTAAAATAAACTTAATGTGGTCATATTAAAGATATTAACTTTATGCAATTTTGTCCTATATTTGATTTTCATGACCGTCACTAACACGCAAACACTGATAATTTCTTAACACTTTAAACCACCTAAACTGCATTTATATCTACAGAGTAAATGGTGTATTCACTTTAAATTTGAGAACATTTTCATTTTTAATAGAAACAATCTCTGGATTAAATTAAATATATAACAAACTAAATATAACAACAATTCGGACCATGAATAAAATATCAATACATAATAATATTTCTGATATAATGACTTGAGCATTACCTGTAATTCTATCCTCAACGTATAGTACATTGGACAACTCAATTAAAGAAAAATAATGAAACCAAAACAATACATGATAAGTGGAATTGTAGTAACTTATTTAAACATGAAATTACTTACGGAGAAACAATAGTAGTAAAAGTATAAATGCCATGTAGAGCGACCGAAACAATAGCTAATATATTATCTTTCTTTCCTATTAATAGTCAAAGTATGCAACACTTACCTCTATCACAACTGATAGTAATTGTGCATTGCAAAAATGTTTACATGTAACAAAGTGAACATTGCAAGATACGAGTATATATATTTGACATGACATCTATGAAATAAAATCCACCTAAAAATATTAAGTGTCAATCCTTTACGCATATTTGTAAACCGCAAACGAGGAAAAATGTGATTATACCCTATTATTTTCATGATACCAAGTACATGTATGCAATCAAGATATCTAAATGTGTCTACCTTCGATACATCCATACATTAGGACCCACAGATAAACACAAAAAGGTGCTCATCAGATTTAATTTATTTTTGTCCGTTGTAAACATGTCATAATTAAATGTACAACCATCGGTGCATAATTACTTCTAGGGTTTATCATATCAGCACATTTTATCATTGAAGGCCCACTATTACACAGTAATGCATTAATTTATTTCTCAAAAGCAGCTTTCCTTTTTGAGTGTGTTTTCAGTTATACTTTCAAAAAAATCATTGGCTAATGAACCATCTTTTGCTTCTGTTGTTTCTTTTTGGTTGTTAATGAATTTATAAAAGAGATTCAGTATTTGTATGAGAGTCAACAAAACCCAAAATACTACTTTGTATATATACATATTGCTACTTTTATGACTAAAAAATCACATTTAGTGCTACTTTCTTCAATCGATAAGCATCTAACATGCTCTATAATCATAACTTAAACAATATGAAACTAGTGTATAAAGAAGAAATTATACGTTCTTTGAGGCATAATGTGCCTTAAATCAATAATTTCAGATTTTTTTATATTCTTTAATTTTATGACTTGTTACTAATAAATAATACATAATTAAATACCAAATTATTACACTTTCATCAGTTTTTTTTAAACAATTTGTATGAAGAAGAGTTCAGACTTTGGATTTTGAAACATGTGAACATTTCAAGTATCAAAAATGAATAGTTACATGTACTTCATTGCAAATCACAAGGGATTACATTAAATACACACTATGCCTCAGATGAACAAATCTTAACCTCTGTAGGTTACAAATTGGCACAATTGACACATTAAAGGTCTGAAAAGAAATCAAATAATATATAACTTTTAGTCAACACATTTGATACGAAATTGTTTTGATATTTTGAGAATACAATCGGTAAGATAAAGAGATGATTTTCATTAACAAAATAGATTATAAAAATAAACCTATTTATTCATCACATATTCATTCATACTAAATGTCGTAAAAAAAGTTATTTAAAGCAGGGTATCTCAAAATTTATATTTTTTTTTTGAAAACCTATTAAATAAAGCGAAAACAAAATCACGATAATACGACAGTCATCACTTTCCCTGATTTTTGTGGTTTTACCTTTCGCTTTAGGGAAGTCAGACAAAAAATACACAAAATTGGCGAATCTTTTAAATTGAATATCAACATGCTTTTAGGTGCGTATAATCTAGAGGAAACATAACGTGAACTAAATTTGAATAGCATAATAATGTTTTTTGTTGTTGCTGTTTTTTTTCCAGAATAGATGGAGTTCAAACTGGATGGTGCAGTTTTACTTTATATCGGAATTTGCTAAAATGTAAAGCACCTTCATCATTTTAACACCATCTCAACTACATAAAAGAAAAACCCGCCAGTAGTATATAACAATCGTTCTTCAACCTGCCTGCAGCCCTGCAGCCTCAAGTAACAAATTAAATAACAATGGGGTCAATCGTGGGTGACTGATCGCGAACAATGGGGTATAGCGCACCCTGGTATCAGTTTCAATGACAGGAATGTAGGTCAAGCCCATCCTTTTTCGTAACAATTGGGGTGTATTAAATGACTTTAAAATTCCCATGACGTATCTAGCCCAACCCACATTATGTCGAGTTACAGTCCCACTCTAATTGACAGGGATCATTACACTGCGTGCTTCCTAAAATATAATAACGGTAGATTTTCGGGTGACAATGGGAGGCTGAGGTTGAGCAACGTGCATTCCATACGAGGTTAAACTGACGCGATCGTTGACCTAACAAAAGACGACGTGACACACCTTCATTCCTATACATTTTGTCGTTACCAAACTTTATTTTTTATAAACACACATAACATTAACACTTCCTGATCTATACGTTTAAAATACAAATACTGCTAATTATGATTTCTTTTCTCAACAAAATTTTTATTATCATTTCGTGTTATCTCATATTAATTTATCTTACGATATCCTTACCAAAATTATTTAAAATTTAACAATAAATAAAGATTTTTATCAATAAAGCAAACAAGAGTTTTATTAAAATATTATCTCCATTGAAATAAAGTTTCGGCTATTAAAAATTGTGCGCAGGCCGTGAAAATGTAGAGATTAAAGATAGAAATAATAAACTTAACCATTTGTTTCAGATATCTTGTAGTCCTTTTTATATAACCTCTACACCGAAAATAACACCGTTAAGTTTAATTTTCATCACTTGTACGTTTAATAGAGTACACACGTAATCATAAAATCATATTAAGTTACCACTTGTTTACCAAATTATAACTGTAGTTATATTGATTTGAACGCTTAAAATATAAATAGAGTCGCATTGAAGAAATAGTTTAGCCCGATATCCAACTAATACTTACTCGAACAAAGTTGTTGTTTTTTTTAATTTAATTTATTTATTACATTATATACATATAACGCGTAGAAATAAATTATGGCTATTTTATGATCGATAACGTCATAATAGTATTACGGGGTTCAACTCGGTTCAGATTCTCACATTATCGATTTTATTTTTCAATTAATTCCTATATAACGGTATCATCTTTTAGTGTTGGGATCGAAAAAATTTTCCGTTTTGCCTGACGTTCAAGCATACTTTTAGCTATGACTGTCATCTATTTTGCTGGAACTACCACTCGTATACGATATTGCGGTTTCTTTTGTCCAGTGCTACTAATTCGTTTACAACTGGCTTTCCGTTTTACCGGACAGCCGGGAGGTGATGGAATAATGCCTCGACCCACCTGCACTCTTCGGGAGAGTAAACTACTCTTAATGCTCATTTTTGAAATTGTTTGGTTTTCTTATTACAACATTGGTCCATATTTTCGTCCGTACTGTTTGATGACAAACGGATTAATGATCTAAACAAGGTATCAAGCAATAATTGTATTAAGTTTGCTCTTCTGGTTACGAGACTCGTGGTTTCAATTTATTCCATCACAATCATCATCCTCAACATCATCATCATCATCATCGTCGTCGTCGTCGTCACTGCTGTCATTTTCGCTATCATCACTTTCTTAATTTTGCCCCGTAACGTATTCGTTCATAAACGCTTCAAAAGAAATGTTTGTATTTCGTCAGTGACAGACGAATGGCTCGTTCAAAATCCAATTCTTGCTTAAGGTTTCTTTCATAATTTAACTGTGAATGTAACCCTCTCTCAATTTAGGTATATAGGAAATTATCGTGGTATATTTTTTCCATAAACGCGCGCACGTTGTTACCTCGTAGCGCGGTAATGGCATTTGTTTTAGCTTTTCGTATTTTCCACTTTATCTTCCCATTCGTTTTCATTTTCATTCCTGGCAATCTTGGCCAACTTTTTGAAAACTTCGTCTTCTTGATCTAAGTATTGGGCGTAGTCATTACTTTCCTCCGAGTCGTATTTCATCCTTTTGTCGGGATAGATGTCTTCATCGGGGAATGGTCGCTTTGGTGCTGGACGTTCGGGACACCAACGTTCCACGTGATTTTGAAGGTCGTGAACGTTATGAAATACCACGCTGCAGTAGTCGCAAGAATGCATGGTTTGAATAGTGTGGATTTTTTCTTCCAAATGATCAAAAAGATCATAATCGGTTTGTTTTATGTTCGATACTTTAGCAGCATTGCAAATGGGGGCATGCATGCACAGTACTTTTGACAGTTCCGTGTGTTTCACGGGCATTACTTCTGGTACTTGTTCCTTGCTCGCTTCAAATAGATCCATACATGGGCATGCGCAGTGCTTCTGGTGTAGTTGTTTTCAGGTCAAGCAGAAAATACCCGTAGGGTCGGTTAATGGCGTCGTCAAACCTATTAGCCTTATTAGCGCGCTGGAGTTTATCGGGTTGATTTGTTTAGCCAGGGTGGCAATAGGCTGCCTATCTACCGGATTATTAAATAATACCAAGTAATGACAGGTTCTGTGCTGTGTGGGATCCTTGCTCAAATACAAATTGTGTTCAGAGCCGAAAGATTTCTCTGATTACAAGATGAATGCCTTCTGTAAAGAGATCTGTTGATCGTTGATCCCCATGGGCTTGACCTACATTCCGGTCATTGAAATTGCTACCGGGGTGCGCTATCCCCCATTGTTCGCGATCAGTCACGAGTGAATGACCCCAATGTTATTTAATTGGTCGCGTGAGGGCTGCAGGGCTGCAGGCAGGTTGACGAAACAATTATTATATACTACTCCTGCCATAATATGTTCTATGCTCATCTAATGTAGCTGGAGAAGTATGGCATTGATTTTAACTTTGCAATAATATAACTTGTATCGGAGGAAATTTAAACAAATATATTTGAGAAAATTGTTTAAAAAATTATTCTCCAATATTGACAAAATGCTCATTTCTAAATGTTCAAGGGAGCTAACTTATCGCGCTACATTTCCACTTTCGCTGTAGGAAAATCACTTCCACGAACAACATCCACTTCCGGATCAAAATGCAGTAAAATGTAGTTTCTCATTCTGCAGTATTTATATATTCTGATAACTCATCATTTAACTATAAATGTGTCCATATGACACGGGTGCCCACACACGCCACTGTTCTGTCAATCTTATGACTCTAGGTCAAATATTTTTTGGACTACGTGTGCCACAAGTTGCAAATTTTTACTAAGTCAATACTAGGGTAATAACTCAAAAAATACTTAATAAATCTACAGGAAAATACACAGGTGCACAACTGCACATGCCGATCAACATTCCTGAAAAGATTCATGACTCTAGGTCAAATCCTTTTTCACAATTTGAAAATTGCAAAATTTTACTAAGTCAAGGGCACTAACTCTAAAATACTTCATAAATCCACACGAAAATACCCAAGTTCACAACAACACATGCTGATCAACATTCCTGTAATGTTTCATGACTCTAAGTCAAATACTTTTTGAGTAACGTGCGACGCATGTTGAAAATTGCAAATTTTTACTAAGTCAAGGGCAATAACTTTCAAAATACTGAATAAATCCACACGAAAATACCCAGGTGCACAACTGCACATGCTGTTCAACATTTCTCTAAGTTTCATGACTCTAGGTTAAATATTTTTTGAGTTACGTGCGACACAAGTTGGAAATAGCAAATTTTTACTAAGTCAAGGGCAATTACTCTAAAAATACTGAATTAATCCACACGAAAATATCCAGGTGCACAACTGCACATGCTGATCAACATTCCTGTAAAGTTTCATGACTCTATGTCAATACTTTTTGAGAAACGTGCAACACAAAAGAGAACGGACGGACGGAGGATCGGACAAGGGTAAATCTAAATGCCCCCCCCCCCCCCCCCTAAAGTGGGGGCACAAAAAGTTTTAAGAGAGCTATTTGAAGGTTTTGAAAAGTTCAAAATAATGCATTTTCAGTTCAATGAAACGTTTCTAAAGATAAAAGCACACTCTTCAGACAAAAACTTTGAAGTTACGAATTGGGAACACCTATCGTAACGTTACGACAGATTGATTTTGTATTTAAAATATTCTTGAGAAATTTTGATTCGATTGTGCACAACTCGAAGCCCTAGCCCAAGCAATACGTTCATGGGATTTCGTGTGGCATGGTCGATTTTTCTCTGTATAGAAAGTGTATACATGTATGTAAAATAGACATTATTTTAGAGCCAACAACTAATACCCAATTTGTCTGATACTGTTGCAAATTCGATTTTATACAATTTTTGAGTGTCGTCTTTCAAGCAAACGTCATTGAGATTTCAGTGTGGCATGGTCCTTTTTCTGGACCAACGAATCGTTTTACTGCATATAAAGTGTATAACTTTTTTTAACAAAAACGATACAAAGTACACTTAACAAATCTTATAACTGTGCACGTATAAAAATCAAATTTTCTCAGATACTAATAAAGATAGGTCTCTGAAATTTGAACCAAACATAGTACAGATATGTGCAATGTTGGGTATCGATTTTTATGTCAGGGTGATTCGTATTAACTGAGAAATAGCGAAGTGTGCAAGATTGCGCGAAAACCGAATTTCACATTTCTGTAAAATGCGTGTTTATAATGGGTGCAAAAAGGTCTAAATCTCTTGATTTCACTAAAATACAAACATAAAACATAGGATCACCGATAGGGTATAATACTACAATGAATTCCAGGGCATTATGTCACTGTAATTTTAATATTTGCTTTATTGAATTTTAGTAAAGACTGGTTTATGTCGATCTCCGTAACGCGTTGTACCCAGTTACTAAAAGCAATGCAAACGCGATATTTTCATTAATATGAAAGTACCAAGAAAGTTTGTATTTAGTTTTAAAGTAAAATCTTAGTCAATATGTTTATTTGAGAAAATATTATGCAAATTTATTTTCAAAATGGGCGCCCGAAATGCAAATTCCCTTGCGTAAAACTTCTAGACGGCCATTTTTCTTTCAATTGCAAAAATTCTGCAATAAATTTATGTTTTTTGGATGTCTTTATTTTAATAGAATCCTTGATGGTCAATAATAACTTCATTTAGCGCCAACCTGTCATCCTCACGTGCACTTTGTTGTTTATGTACATGTCACGGATGAACGCACACAACAAAAATAACCGTTATTTATGAATATAGCATTTTAAAAATAAACCATTCAAACGATGAATTCCAAAATTTGGGTAAAAAATGTCAAGTAATAAAAAAGTTATTCACATTTAAAAACTGCACAGTTATAAGTTTTGTTAAGTGTATTCTTATGCCAACCGGTGAACACCATTTTTCTGATTCCGTTTCAAATCCACGGGGGGGGGGGGGAATCACGTGACTTTGTATAGTAATACCCACGAGAAAATGGCGACTGCTGAGGCCCGGTAAGTACCTTATTATGTTAAATTAAGGTGACAAACGTTTCTTAAATCAAAATAAAACCTAGCGTATCATATGCGCGTTAATTTTCTTCAAATGACAATACAAAGTGCATTATCCTACGCTTTGTGGTTTTTGAGAACATTGTTTGAATTGTGTGAAAATTGCACATTCAGCGATAGTAATTCGCACGAAGCGATATAATTTGGTACCAAAATAAATGAAAATAAGCCTTCTTTTTGCACTTAAGACACAAAATCAATCATTTTATTGACATCTGTTATCGTAGAAGTCCATATAAAATATATTTTCGAAGGTCTGTAGCCTACAAATGTTCTTTGAAAGTGTATAGTTAGTAAAACGAACAATTTCTGGATAGTAAGTCGCACGAAAACAAAATAGTAAGTTTCACGCAAAGTTTCCA